TTCGGAAACGAATTCAGCACGTCGAAAAATGTCAAAATAGGTATACTTGAACAAAATCAAAGGTCGTTTAATGGCCGTTTAAAGCCGGTCAAAGTTATGGTCAAAGGGGTTCAATAGTCCACATTCAAAAATTCTCAAAATGTCACCTTTTTTCAAAATAATTCCCATCATATCACCTTTTTCAAAATAATTCCCAGAATGTCAAAAAGAATTTCAAAATATTTCTCAGAATGTCACATTTTTCAAAATATTTCCCAGAATATCACATTTTTCACAAAAATTCCCAGAATGTCACCTTTTTCACAAAAATTCTCAGAATGTCACTGGGTCGGGTCGGATCAACGGGTCGGGTTTGTAACACCCCAACCCATATCCAACCGGATACGAATCTGAGGTGTCACATTGACCTTTTAAAACATGTACTTGTATAAAATAGTGAGTAATTTAAAACTTTTATAACATATAAATGACTAATTTACATAAAAAGACATTTTCATTATTACAAAACCAATCAGAGCGTGTATATTTCACTTATTTATTTACATATAACTATTCGAAACATTTATAAAACTGTTCATAGCTTAAACAATATATTCTTTTGAAAACATGCCAACTAGAACTTTATATACTAAAATACATATTATTCACTCTTTTCTGATCTGACCTTTAATAAGGAGAACTGAGTTGTCTTGCTCCACATTGCTCTTTACTCTTCTCGAAACCTATGTATAAATCACTTACACGCTAAGTCAAAGACTTAGTAAGGCATATAAACATATAAGGTAAACGGTAACTAATAATCATACCTAAACAATTACTACTATCATTTCATATCACTCATACTTTTACATGTAACAAATATATGCATACATATATGTCCTTATCATTCATATCTCTTTCTCATGTTCCTATGATCTCTTATGTCCATATCATATAACATATACCATAACCAATTGCACATATACATATCATGTCATGTAAACTATATATATATACCATCATTGATTCCTTTCATCGTATGGTCTTATAAGTTACCATTTGTACAATCAATATTACACATGAAATTCCACAAGGAAACAAACATATTATCATATCACTTTATTAATATTATCTATTTAATAGCCCATGATACACATGTGAGAACTAAAGATATGCGAGTACATAGAGGTTGTGTACTAATGTTGTCACCACAGCTCATATAATTGCACCGAAGTGCCACATATAATTGCACCGGAGTGCCGCGTAGAATTGCACCGTAGTGCCATATAATAATGTCCATAAGGACCACATATCATTCCTTAAAAATCATATACATATACTAGGGATCAAGTATGTGTCTCACCAGACTTCACACATGTTCCAAAGAATACATATGTCTCGAATGACCACATATCATTCCTTAAGAATCATATACATATGCCAATGATTAAGTATATGTCTCACCAGACTTCACACATGTTCCAAAGAATACATATATGTCCCGAAGGACCACATAGACCCTTGACTCTTGGCATGCCAACTATACCCCTAGCTCTCATGACACATAACATGGGCATTATCTTTTATATCCTTTTACATATTCATGTAACCATATCATATATTCATATAAGCTCATGGTTTCATTCACATATACATGTAATCACGTAGTTCATGTCAATTCTCATATGAGTTCATATTCATATAAACATAAGATTCACCCTCATGTATCACATATACTTTCTCTTTCATATGGCTCATAACATTTCTCATGTGTTCATATGACATGTAAATCATTGTCATCTTATCATGTTATCACATAAACATATCATCTTACAATACATACAAAACACATCAATACCTATATTCACATATACATATCATTTCATTATCCTTATTATTATTCTTATCATCACCATTAATCCCTTTTACTTACCATATTCATATCAATAACACATATACTCATGCACACATATAAATCATAACAAATACATACTTCTATGAATTCATGTTTTTCACTATTGGAAATAGACTTATCACAAGTCTTATTTTCCCTTGAACCTCATATACTAGAGAATGTGCACTCACCTTAGCCTTGTTTGCTTTAAATCAATCTTAATCCTTAGATTGTTCCGGAACAAGCTTTATTCTATATCTACATCATAATAATACATTGATACATAACAGTATACTAATTGATATCTTCTAAATTGTCACTTCTTAGGCTAAAAGAAAATCCCATTTCATCTTTTAATGAAGGTATGCATCGATGCACTGCACAGTGTATCGATGCATTCCCTATCGGTGCATCGATGCACTACCTGTGCATTGGTGCATAAAATACATTCGATGTTTGTTTATTATTGGGATGCATCGATGCATATGCATCGATGCACCAATTGCATTCGATGTTTTTAGATTAAAAGAGTGCATCGATGCACTACCTGTGCATCGATACACCTTCAAACAATTTCTGGGTTTTAACCTTGATGCATCGGTGCACTATGAATATGCATCGATGCACTCTGCCCAGAATCCTCTTTTTGAACCCGAAAATTCATTCTTTTTGGATTAAATCCTTCATATTTCAACCCCTTTCATATTCCTAACTTACATATACATACTTAAACTCATTAATATTCATTTATCTCATCTTTAACCTTAATATCCTCTTCTCTTTAGGAATTTCAAGAATCATACCCTATTTTCCACATGTTTCAAATCTAATTCTAACACTTAATACTTCTTAATTAAGTTGATGACAAGTCAAATTTAGTTTCAAGTTCAACTTATCAACTCCATTCTGGAAATTCACTCAAGAACTCCAAATCTTTAATCTTCCCTAACTCATTTATCTTTTAATCTTAAGATAACTTAAGCTTTCCTTAAGCTTAAGTATCACCTAAGAATCATAACCCAACTTTTAATTCAACAAATAACCAACTAATTAAGAAACTCACCTTTGAGCTGGAGCTTCACGCACAAAGAAGAAAGGAGGAGAAGAGAATTCTGGAGACATTGTTTTTGGTTTCCTACACTCCCACGTGTAAAACTATATATCCCCACTATCACATTTTTAATTCCTTAATGATCAAATGACCATTTTATCCTTTAGTTCCTTTAATAATTACTAATAACTTTTAGGAAATACTTCCAAATAAATCACTGAACTGATCCATTCTTCTACTTTAGTCACCAAATTCTGAAACTTTATAATTTGGTCACTAACCCATAGTTCGGGATGTTACAGGGTCGGTCAACAGGTCGGGTTGGATCGGTCAATGGGTCGGGTCGGTCAACAGTTTGGGTCAGACCGGTTCGAACCGGTCAAGCCGGTCAACATGAAATCAACCAGTTCGAAGCTATCCCACGCGCAGGGGCGGCGCGTGGGGGCGCGTGAGGCGTCGTCCGGTCTCCAATAATTCATGAAAAAAATTCTAAAAATCCTTTTAAGCGATTTTGAGTCACTTACCAACCTTGGTTCAAATTTTTGAACGGTGGAGAGCTCGATTTCAACTCTGCCGAATCTTTGACCGCTCCACCTCCCACACGCGTCGCCGCCTACGGAGACAAGGACGACACCATCGGACTCAAAACGACACCAGGAACACGATGGTGCGGGAGGTGTCGAAAACCGATCAACGATCGGAGATGAATTTAAGATTTTCCCGACGGTGGTGCTAAAAAAATCGAGACTTTGACTCGATATTCACGTCGTTTGGCAGCGTTTCTCTATAATTGGTTTACTGGGTTTTGATCACGGGTCGACGATGAACACGATGGTGGTTTCAATTTGACGATTGGAAGTCGAACGGCGTCGAAATTGGCTTGAAAGTAGATGTGCGGGAGAAAGGAAATATAAGCAAAAATTGTTTCTGATTTTTGAAATAAACGCTTTTAAAACAATGCTGCCGACACTCTTTGGAGGAATTCAAGGCTTGGTCCCTGAATTTCCTTCAACTTCTAAAATGACCTATAAATTTTCATAAATTTTATTTTAGTCACTAAATTTCACCAAATTACACCGATTTAATTTTTTTTCTCGGGTTGTTACAGCACAGTACAAGTGACTATGAAATAAAGGGTGGTAGGAGAAGATTTCCTCAGTTCAATAATGGGGTTGACTACGAAAATTCTTAGTTTAGGAAAGGAATGTTGTTTGCTAACCAAAAAAAATCATTAAAACATAATATAGGGTGAAAATAAATACAATGTGAGGCTTAAAGTTAATGATTCTAGAAGAATCTAGATAGTGTGCAAGATTGGGTGTCCATGGATGGTTTGGGCATCAAGAGTGAATCCCAAAGATGGCACTAACATAATTTGACAGATTAAGACCTACATTGGAGAGAATCAATATATTAGAGAGATGAAGAATAAGAATTGTACCTATAGGTGGTTGGCTAAAGTATACCTAGAGAAATTTAGGGTTGACCTCTAAACTATTTCATTATTTCCTTAAGACATGATGTGAAAAATGATCACATCATTGATATTCCAATATCAAAATGCAATAGAGTAAAGAAAGAAACTTTGAAGATGATCAATAGAAATCAAGATGAGCAATATGCAAGGATATATGATAATCTTGCTGAATTGAGAGAAACAAACCTTGGGGATAAGTAATATAGGGTTATTTATTGGCAATAGTTGGGTTGATGCAAATGACTGCATCTATCACTTGCTTATGCTGCAGTTGAGAGTGAAAACCATACCTTTTGGTATTGGTTTTTACAACTAATTGAAGCATACTTGGAGCTAACAAACTCTCATGATTATACATTCATGTCAAGCAAACAAAAGGTAAAATAATAATTTTATTCGGATTTCAAACTAATTTCACCTATATTTATATGTTAATAATGACTAATTATTTTATGCTTATAGGATCTTGTAAAGGCAATTATCGAACTATTTTCTCATGCCGAGCACAGAAATTATATGAGACATTTGTATTATAACTTCAACTCTAAGAAGAGAAACTAAGGAAAAGCATTAAAAATGTGTTACGAAAGACTGCAAAGGAAACATACATAGTTGACAGATGCAATGAATAAAATGAGGTCAATGTCAGGAGAAGCATTTGATTGGATGAAAAATAAGGACCTTCACAATGATCAAGGTTCCATTTCTCAATTAAGTGCAAATCTGACATGCTCCTTAACAACTTGTGTGAAAGCTTTAACAATGTAAAAATATTTTAATTGTGTCATGCAAATTCGTTTGTGTTTTCATTACACACTTCACCCGTGACTTTCCTTTCAACTAATAAGATCGTGTCAGGGGTTTTAGCTATTTACTTTCAAACACGCACAACAAAAATACATAAAATATCAACACAAACAACAAATTAAAACATAAAAATATAGCATACAGTACAATAACCATATCACGTCTTTTACCAAACGAAGCTTCAACGATTCAACATAAACAGGGACGTAAAACATTATAAGAGACAACATAATCCCACAACCACATCTTAATACTCGTCGTCTTCACCCTCATCACCCTCAGCTGATTCAGCACCAACTTCTTCATAATCCTTCTCCAATGCAGCAAGGTCCTCACGAGCCTCAGAGAATTCACCTTCTTCCATACCCTCACCGACGTACCAGTGAACAAAAGCACGCTTGGCATACATAAGATCAAACTTGTGGTCAATGCGAGAGAAGACTTCAGCAACACTAGTGGAGTTGGAAATCATGCAAACAGCCCTCTGGACCTTAGCAAGATCACCTCCTGGAACGACAGTGGGTGGCTGGTAGTTGATACCACACTTGAAGCCAGTTGGGCACCAATCCACAAACTGAATGGTGCGCTTGGTCTTGATGGTAGCAACAGAAGCATTGACATCCTTGGGAACTACATCACCACGGTACATCAAACAGCAAGCCATGTACTTTCCATGGCGAGGATCACACTTGGCCATCATAGATGAGGGTTCAAAGGCACTGTTGGTGATTTCAGCAACCGAAAGCTGCTCGTGATAAGCCTTCTCAGCAGAGATTACCGGTGCATATGAGGAAAGCATGAAGTGGATCCTTGGGTAGGGAACCAAGTTGGTCTGGAATTCAGTCACATCAACGTTCAAGGCACCATCAAACCTCAGCGAGGCAGTCAAGGAAGAAATGACCTGAGAGACAAGGCGGTTAAGGTTGGTGTATGTGGGCCTCTCAATGTCGAGAGAGCGCCTGCAAATGTCGTAGATAGCTTCATTGTCAAGGAGAATGGACACATCAGTGTGCTCCAGAAGGGAGTGAGTTGATAGAACACTGTTATATGGCTCAACAACTGAAGTGGATACTTGGGGAGAAGGGTAAACAGTAAAACCCAACTTGGATTTCTTGCCATAATCAACAGACAATCGCTCCAAAAGGAGAGAACCAAAGCCAGATCCAGTGCCTCCACCGACAGCGTTGAATACAAGGAACCCTTGAAGACCGGTACAGTTATCAGCAAGCTTCCTGATTCGGTCCAAGCACAGGTCAACAATCTCCTTGCCAACTGAAACAAAAAAGTAAGCCAATTGTTAGTTCCAATAAAAAAAACAAAACATGGGCAAACATGGTAATGGAATAAGAACTTACTGGTGTAATGACCACGGGCAAAGTTGTTGGCAGCATCTTCCTTTCCACTGATGAGTTGTTCAGGATGGAAAAGCTGGCGATAAGCACCGGTCCTCACTTCATCAATAACAGTGGGCTCAAGATCCACAAAGACAGCTCGAGGGACGTGCTTTCCAGCACCAGTTTCACTGAAAAAGGTGTTAAAAGCATCGTCACCTCTTCCGACAGTGTTGTCACTTGGCATCTGACCATCAGGCTGTTAACAGAAACAGAACAGCTCATTAAGAAACTCCGTATTTCAAAGCCAAACAAACAATACAGGGATTCAAACCAACAGATTTCAATATATACACAAAGATTAACCCGATCTGAAGCAGGATTCAAACAGAGATTCACCAGATCTGATACAATACGAAACCTAACGGGAAATAGAACGGAAACATGAACAATATACCTAAAAACCTCAGATCTAACTAAAAACACAACAAATCTAATCATGCAATAGAAACGGGCATATAAAAACAGATAAACCATTCGATTAAAAGGCAAAACGCAGATCTAAACGTAATTAAGCTTACATAAGCCGAAACGAATAATATTAACACAGATCTGAATCAAAATGAAAGCAAAAAAAAATGGAAGATACCTGGATTCCATGCTCGAGACAGTAAAGCTCCCAGCAAGCATTTCCGACCTGGATACCTGCCTGACCGATGTGGACTGAAATGCATTCTCTCATTTTCTCCTTGAGAAAAATAACCAAAAACAGATGAAGAAGAAGGCGTTTATTAAGACACCTTGTAAAACGATTTGAAAATCTGGAGTGGCGAAATGCGGGAGGCTGGTGGAAGTATTTATAGTGGGAGAATGTGGATGACGAATACAGATACTCGAGGGGGGTATAACTGCTGTGGTTAAGATTAGGGTTTGGACGGCCATTGATGTTGACGTGGCAGAATACTATTGGTCTGTTTCTAACTAGCATTTTAATCACGGTTAGATGGCTTTTCCAATTTGTCGATTTTAAATTTTGCCGCCCGGCTGGATAATTGAGTTTGTTGCAACTTCAACGTGAGCCAATTAACATAATACCTTATTTGGTATATAACTTTAATTAGTATAAGAGCTAAGTTGGTTAAATTTCGAGTTTTATGTGTGATTAATCGAAAGGTATTAGTATTTATTGTTAATGACGGAGAATTTTTTGAATAGATGTTATTTTATAGGGTATATTATACGTTTAGTATCTAAACTATTAGTTTTGGTTCGTTTTAATACTTAAACTTTTAATTTTTTAAAAAATCATATATAAAGTTCAGTTTTTATTTTATTTTAGTATCTCACCATTAAAAATTTTAGTTTTTGTTTTTAGTACCACCGTTCAAAATTTAACGTTAAGTTTTAGAAAAATTGAAAGTTTATGTATTAAAACGGATCAAAACTAATAGTTTAGGTATCAAGCAAATTAAATTTTTAATAGTATAGTAAAACGAAATGAAAACTAAATGTTAGACATGATTTTGAAAAAAAAAATTAAGTACTAAAACAAACCAAAACTGATAATTTAGATACTAAATACATAGTTTACCATATTTTATATTCACCTAAACTAATAAAAAACAATATTCATTATGATTAGGTGTGTGCAAATTGGGATCTTGCATCCAATTCCACTAAAAATTCGGATATCCAAAAATTTTGAATACCTAAAATGATGATATGTATATGATCCGAAGAATCGAAGATCTGAATTTTCAGATCGGATATCTAGTTATCCGAATATAAATTTAGCTTGTCAAACTAAATTTTATATTTTTTATATTTTGTAATTTAATGTAACTTATTCGATAATTTTACTATTATAAATATATAATTACTCACGTACAATAAATAATTAAATATTCTAATTTTTATTGGATTATAACTTTAATGGGTCATAGGGTTACTCATTTATTGGGTTAAAATATATCTAAAATCTTAAAGACCATTTTTTAAATTTGTGGATAATTCAAAATTGGAATTTATATGATTATTCAAAAAAAATGGATTTCTGATCCAAATTATTTGAAATAAAAAAAAGATATGATATCCAAATTTTTTAGATTAAATCATCATATTTGATCGATCGTATCAGATCTTTTTGCACATCCCTACTCATGACCACTTAAATATAGATAAATTTAATTTTTAACTATCGATCTTTCTCAATTACTTAAGTATTATCAATCAAGTTGTAAGTCACTGATATTTAACGGAAATATTAATGTGGTTGTTAGAAAATTAGTATAACTCTATATTTAATTCTCAATTTTTACATATTCTATCAATTTGGTTATTATATTAATATTTCAACCGGCACATCATCTCCTTTGTGAAATGTTAAATATCTAGTGCTTGACAACACTTGAATAGTCAAATGATTTGATTGATAAAATTAAAAAAATGATAGTCAAAATAGAATCCACCTATAATTAAGTGGTCATGGTTGTAGTTTACCTTTAATTGAATTTTAAAACAACGAGCGGGATTAAATTTCAGAATTCAAAATAAAGGGATCAAATTTCAAGAATCTAAACAGCATAGGGATTGACAGTGGAATTAGACCTACTAAAAATCGTGGCAGTCGGGTAAGGGTGAATTTGCTGAATATTAGAAATTGCGTTTCCCTTGAGGTAAAAAAACACAAAGAAATTTGGCTTTTTGCAAAATGGTTTATTCTCCATTGCGTTTGAGCCTTTGTACCCTCTTTTCACGTTCTCTCTAATTTCTTTTAGAGAAAATCGCCTCAGTGACCAAAAATGCCTTATAATATACGATTTTAACCAACTTTTTTTGGATTTGCGAAAATGACCAACAAAATCGCAACGCGAAATAAAAATCGCAACGCGATTTAGAAAATCGCAACGTTGAAAAGAAAACCGCAACGGTCAAAAGAAAATCGCAACGCGATATTCCAAGAATCGCAATGCGATTAAGAGAATCGCAACGCGATCTTCCAAGAATCGCAACGCGATTCAGAAAATCGCAACGCGATTCCAAGAATCGCAACGCGATTCCAAGAATCGCAACGCGATTCAGAAAATCGCAACGCGATTAAGAAAATCGCAACGCGATTCCAAGAATCGCAACGCGATTCAGAAAATGAGTAAATTCTTTCAAAAGCTATTGTATTTGTTTCTTTCTTAAGAATTTTCTCTAAAAAGATAGTATCCGCGCGGACGTGTCGAAGACACGTATTACCACGACCACGACCACGACCACGACCACGACCACGACCACGACCACGACCACGACCACGACCACGACCACGACCACGACCACGACCACGACCACGACCACGACCCGAGACGAGACGAGACGGCGGCGGCGGCGCGCGAGAGTCCCCCTTGTTCTCTTTCACTCAACAAGGAAATGGGAAATCCAAGCCTTAAATACTCTTCCCAATAGTGTTTCCAATACTATGTGGGATTGAGCATTACTCAACACTTCAAAGAAAATATAGCAATTTTTGTAGCATGTTTCCCGCTTAATCCATATTTAAAAATATTAAAACATTTTATCATATTAAAACTATATGTATAAGTTTGAATTGAAATGTAGATATCTACAACTCTTTTAATTCTCTTGATAAAATGTTTTAATATTTTTAGATATGGATTAAGCGGGAAAATACTACAAAAATTGCTATATTTTCTTTGAAGTGTTGAGTAATGCTCAATCCCACATAGTATTGGAAACACTATTGGGAAGTGTATTTAAGGCTTGGATTTCCCATTTCCTTGTTGAGTGAAAGAGAACAAGGGGGACTCTCGCGCGCCGCCGCCGCCGTCTCGTCTCGTCTCGTGGTCGTGGTCGTGGTCGTGGTCGTGGTCGTGGTCGTGGTCGTGGTCGTGGTCGTGGTCGTGGTCGTGGTCGTGGTCGTGGTCGTGGTCGTGGTAATACGTGTCTTCGACACGTCCGCGCGGATACTATCTTTTTAGAGAAAATTCTTAAGAAAGAAACAAATACAATAGCTTTTGAAAGAATTTACTCATTTTCTGAATCGCGTTGCGATTCTTGGAATCGCGTTGCGATTTTCTTAATCGCGTTGCGATTCTTGGAATCGCGTTGCGATTTTCTTAATCGCGTTGCGATTCTTGGAATCGCGTTGCGATTTTCTTAATCGCATTGCGATTCTTGGAATCGCGTTGCGATTTTCTTAATCGCGTTGCGATTTTCTGAATCGCGTTGCGATTCTTGGAATCGCGTTGCGATTTTCTGAATCGCGTTGCGATTCTTGGAATCGCGTTGCGATTTTCTTAATCGCGTTGCGATTCTTGGAAGATCGCGTTGCGATTCTCTTAATCGCATTGCGATTCTTGGAATATCGCGTTGCGATTTTCTTTTGACCGTTGCGATTTTCTTTTCAACGTTGCGATTTTCTAAATCGCGTTGCGATTTTTATTTCGCGTTGCGATTTTGTTGGTCATTTTCGCAAATCCAAAAAAAGTTGGTTAAAATCGTATATTATAACTTTTTTTTGGTCACTGAGGCGATTTTCTCTTTCTTTTATGATCCCTAAGAAAAATCCCCAAAATTTTCAACTTTCCTTGAGAAAATCTAAAGAAAAATGGAGACCGGCTTAAACGACACCGAATCATTACTTGCTCGCATCAAACAATTAGAACATGGTACACTTTTATTTTTCCTCTTTATTTTTCGCTGTGATTTCACCCTAGTTTTTTTTTTTTAAATTGATTTTGATTGCGTAGAGCGTGATGAATTGCGTAAAGATATAGAACAATTGTGTATGCAACAAGCTGGACCAAGCTATCTTGGTGTGGCTACTCGAATGCATTTCCAGAGGTATAAATTTTTAATTTGCATCATCCGGTTGTTGGACTCGTTGTTTTCTTTCTTATTTTGAGTTTGTCAATTGAAAAATTAATGCCCTATTAGGACAGCTGGATTAGAGCAGGAGATTGAGAATTTGAGAAAGGAATTAGCTGCTTGTACCCGGCATAACCAAAATCTTCAAGAGGAGCTTTCTGAATCTTATCGAATTAAAGTATGTTTATTTTTAGTTTTCAGTTATCTTATTTGCTTAACCTCTTGTACGGGTTGATGTGATTGCTTTGTTGTTTGCAGACTCAGCTGGCCGATCTACATCGTGAGGAGGCTGCTAAGGTAACATTCATTAACAAATTGAAATGAAATCATTTCTTGTTTGTTTTAGTGAATGAATGAGATTCCTGTTTGGCTTTTTTATTTTTTTACCACTAATTTGTTTTGGTTTCTTTCTCCAGAATCTGGAAGCTGAGAAGCAGGTTAAGTATTTCCAAGGCTGTGTGGCTGCTGCTTTTGCTGAACGGGATCGTTCGATCTTGGAGGTTCTTTCCATAATTGGTTAAATTTAATTTATTTATGATTGCCCTCTTGTTATTGTGCACTGTGTTATAATTGTATTCTAGTTTGAAGTTCCACATGGCTGGTAACAGGCTGAAAAGGCTAAGGAGAAGGAAGAGCTCATGGCTCAGAAGTATAATGAGTTTCAGGCAAGGTAATCTTTATATCTTTCCAGGAATCATCAGGTTTGGGTTTGGGGAGGATTTGCTGTCCCTATTGTCAGTTTCATGGATGGGGGTGGCCTTTTGGAAGGAAAAAATTTGAGGGTTAAGAACATATATGAAATCTAAAATTAGTTTTATATAAATTTAAATCTTAGATATGATCCAAATTGATTGAATTTTTTTTATTTGGATAATAATCATTAAAAAATTATAATACAGGTTAGAAGAGCTTGCATCGAATTGTCTTGAACAGAGCAGATGTAATGATGCACTGCAAATCGATCTTGCAAAGCAAAAAGAGGAAAATGGAACTTTAAAGAAGGTAAAAGTCAGAAATATTGTGTTCACATCTTGAACTGATTTTTTAAATAAGGGGTGCAGTGTCTTGAATTAATATGATTGTACTTGTTAATTTGTTATGCAGTGATTTAGTAGGTTTGCTACAAATATGGTTGATAACCTACTTTACAACCTGCCTCCAAGCTTTACAGAGCAAGTTATTTAGTTAATTAGATTATATTACATATCAATTCATTTAATTGATTATCGTGAATAAATACATTTGTTTAAAACTAAAATAATTGCTTAGATTTTCTCTTTATGGATTTAAATTTTTTAGTAAGGCCTAGTAAACACCCCCCCACCAACCAAAAAAAAAAAGGAAAAGAAAGAAGAAAAAGAAGACAAGAATAAGAGGACTAGAATCCTGATAACTAATAAGAAGCAATACCTCCCCACTTTTAATTTTTGGTTTAGGATCACGGCCTGCTTCACATTTTACTCTGATAGTTGGTGCATCTAGACTATTATTTCTTTTCTAGTTAATCTGTTTACCTTTTAGCCGCTCTCTTCAAATGAAAAATGAATTGCTTTATTTCCGGGTTGCACTATCTTTTACATTATCTTTTTTTTATAAGAATCTTTTACATTATCTTCATTTACCTTTGCATTTTGTTCCTTTCTGTTTTTGACTTTACAAGGGCATATGCAGTTTCTTACCTTTTCTAAATCTGGGACAGGTTATTGGCAAGTTTTACGAGATCAGGCAAGAAACTCTTGGGGAATTAGAGGATTCTAGTTTGGATGATAAATGTACATGTCTCTTAAATGATCCTGCAGAATTGTGGAGTTTCAACGATTCTTCCACTGCTAAATACATTGTGAGTTCAATTAAATTCTAAATTTTCCTCTATCAGGTTTTGCAGCAACCTTATTGTAATTTAATATAGCATTATAGAATTTGTCTCTTCTTAGTTTTCCCCTTTATTTAATATTAGTATTTCCTTGTTACTTTGGACTATAACTGCTATGGACAAAGGTGCCTATATGTCCATGATTTATTCTACTCCAAAATGAATACAGTATATTGGCTTTGCCTTTTTTATTTTTCATGTTTATGTTTGTACAATATATCAATTGATTTCTACAACCAATGCCCATGTTCTACATGGTGTTTTACTTCATATCATGTTAATTCAAACTTGTCCTTGGCTGGCAAGACTAATACGTTGACAAGCTTCATTTTTTTTTCAGATTTAGTTTATAGAAATTCAAATTTCTTTAGATTGAATTTTGTTTCAACATGCAACTTGATTAACTTTTCCTCAGACAGAGTTCATTGGAAGCAGAGCTGGAAAGAGTAAGGAGATCTGTTGATGATCTACGAAACAAATTGCGAATGGTATGGATTTGTTTGAGACTCCTATGCTTGCTTTTCATGTTTCGTATTGATAGAAACTGATTGTTGGTATATAGGGTTTGGAGATTGAAAATCATTTAAAGAAGAAATTTCGTGAATTGGAAAGAAAGAAAGTGAGTACTTTATTTAAATTTTTTCCCTTTTAGTTTCATTTTTATGGTTTTCCTTTTTGTTTCTTTTCTATGATTAAGTCCTTGATTTTATGAATTATGTGCAGATCACTTCAGGCAAAATGATTTTGAACAGGGTCACAGAATTACGCCATTATCATTCTGAGCAAAAAATTCAAATTATGAATTTACTTGATATGGAAAGATCACATATCAAAAGATCTGTTGATGCAGTAGAAGAGAAAATTAGGCAAGTTGATCCAAGAGGGCAAAATGTGCATAGTGTTCTCAAGCCAGATGAAGATGAGCGTGTAGATGTACATACAAGTACTGATGCTGAAGAAAAAATTAGACAATTTAATCCAAGAGGGCATCATGTGCAATGTTTTCTCAAACCAGATGAAGATGGGCGTGTAGTTGTACATATAAGTACTGATGCTGAATCCAAGTTGGTGTCTAAGGTTTGTTTCTTAGTAGTTAGCTGTTTGTTTCTCTCTCATTTTTGCATTTATGTAAAACATCTAGTGCTATCTTTGTCTCAAGAGACTGATTTGAACGATAAAAGGTTTTTTTGTAGAAAAAGAAAAGAAACATCCTGGGTTGCTTAAATCCTCCTTTCCAAGCGATGAGTTATAAAAAGCTAAATTGAATGACGTCTATTGGGCATTTTTGTTTGGTTCCAATGTTTTTCTTTGATGTTTTATTTTTGAGTATTGGCTCTGTTGTCTTTTGATGCTAAAGCATGTGATTTTGGAAGTTCTGACTTTTCAGGAGTAGTAACTGCAGTCTGAGCACTGAAATTGACTTTTCTCACTAAAGTTTCTCAATTATGTTCAAATCCATCTTTTAGCTTTGACAACTTTAGTGAGAAAACAATTACCATTGATAGTATTTTCTGTGAGGATGCATCTAGATGTCAGGATGCCGGCCGTGGTTATTATTTCTCGGTCATTTTACCATGTATTTTCAAGTTGTAATTTCTATTTACATCCATCACATTTTTTAGGGGGTGGATTTAAATACTGCTGAGAATAAGGGTGATGCCTCAGAAGCCCTTTCACAGGCATTGCAAGAAAAGGTTTCAGATGTTTATTCTGTCTTTGGTGTCTGGTAATTTATATATTTCTATTTATATCCATCATATTTTGTAGAGGGATTTGCTCGATTCAAATACTGCTGAGACTAAGCTTAATGCCTCAGAAGCCCTTGCAAAGGCATTGCAAGAAAAGGTTTTAGACGTTTCTTTTCTCTGTGGTCTGGTTTCTGGTAATTTATACATTTCTATTTATATCCATCATATTTTGTAGAGGGGCATGCTGGATTTAAATACTGCTGAGACTAAAGGTGACGCCTCAGAAGCCCTTGCACAGGCATTGCAAGAAAAGGTTTTAGATGATTCTTCTGTCACTAGTCTGGTTTCTGGAAATTCATACCTTGTTTTCTCATCCTTGAAATCTTCTGTCAGGTAGCAGCACTGTTGCTTTTATCGCAGCAGGAAGAAAGGCATTTACTTGAGAAAAATGTTAATGCAGCTCTTCAGAAAAAGATAGATGAACTTCATAGAAATTTGCTTCAAGTAACTTTCTCAATTTAACTTCCAATGGAAACACATTTTATTTTCCATAATTTTTTTTGTTGCAGCACATTAATTTGAAAGAATGATTTATGGGATTTACTTGGTTCAAGTCAATGAGACACTATGATTTTGTTTCAAGAGACACTCTGTTGAAGACTTGAAGGATTTTGTTGCTATTCATTGTTGCATGAGAGCATCATGCCTCCTTGTTTGCTTGTTATCGTTTATGTGTGGTTTGAGTTACTGTCATTTGCAGCATACACTTTGATCTTCTTTGGTTGTTGAATGGCTTCTATCTTTAGTTGCATTATACTCTTTGCATCAAAATAACTTCTAAGAATTTTGTTAAACTCAGGTTACAAATGAAAAGGTGAAGGCTCTCCTTGAGTTGGCACAGTTCAAGCGGAGATATCAGTTATTGCAACAGTAAGATGCTTTTTTTTCTTTTCATGATAGTATTTTTTTGCTATTGTTATTTTATTATACTTTTTTTATACCTCATGAGTAGCGCCAAGTTGATGATCAGTTATCAAGCTGCCTTTATCCTGAGTAAAAGAATGATGTAGAAAAGGAATGGATTTTTCATGTATCATTGTTCGAATTCAAGAATATGGTGGAATTTCTCTTGCACGTGTCCTTATTTAATCATATACATGAAGATCTTAACTTTTACCCTCTTTTTCTTTGTCTTGTTTTTTTCGGTTTCTTAAAGTTTGTGCATCTATGTTTTGAGCAATATTTCTCACTTATAGTGGCTGAATTGTGTACGCAACTAACTCGAATGTGACACTTATTACAGGAAAATCAGTAATGAGATGAAGCAAGGGAATGTTTTGGCTGAAGTTGCTGACAGAAGGGTTGTTACATATGAAAAAGATGGAAAACTAAAAAATCTGCTAAAGAAAACATATCTGAAACGTTGGGTTGGTGCACTAGATGCTGGGGAGAATGAAGCTGAATCTCCTCCAAATAGCATAGATTTCGTTAGGTATCCATAAATATTGTGGATGCTTGAATTGGATAGCATTTGCATGCAAATTATAGAGTGATATTTGTTCTACGAGTTTAACAGATACGTGGATTATGTTATTACTATTCTTCTTCCAGATTGAGAATCGAAAATGCTACACTGAAGGAGAGCATGGAAAGTATAGACCTCCTGACTTCTACAGTTCATAGATTGCGTCTTTCACTTCTTAAGGTAATCTTTCAGCATTCCATCAAGCATGCAGACATAATATCAAGTACGTCCGACACTTGCAGTTATTTGCTTTGGACTTGGGCATGTTATGCTCGAATATTTTCGATGGTTTACTTCGAACATCAATTCATGCAAAATTATGTTTAGGTTTTTATGAGATGAAAAAGAAAAAAAAATTATAGGTGTCACAAATTATTCTCATATTATTTTCTGCCTATGGACCATTTTTTATGCAAATCGTCCGTGTGAAGCTAAGTTAAATTGAACTGTTAGTAATAGCTTTCTTATTTCTTGTTCGACTTGAACTACAAATGTCAAAGTTATATTCGGTTTTGTAGGTAATGGAGCTGATTAATTCGAAAGATTCAGATACTAGTTCATTAGAGACACTTGATGAGATCATTACTGAGGCAAAACTTGTGAAGACCACCCTCGGCAGCTCCCTGCCCGTTACTTGGTCAGCTGAGGGAGATGTTGAACCGATTGGAGAAAGTATAGACGGTGAGGCAAGTGATATGTTCGAGGATTCCAGCAGTCAGAAAATATATTCAGTTTCTGCTGCAGGGTTTGAGATGCTGGATCTGCTAACGCTTGCCGCTCAGATATTAAAGGAAACTCCCCGAACCTGCTCTTCAAGTACATCCTGATTTTATCCTGATCCGTGTTCTAGTCCTGATTTCAGCTTCGACATATGCACATGTGATGCCAAGTTGTTTATGTCGAACAGCAGCTCTGTAAAATAGGAGAGGTTGAAGAAAACGAAGTATCCGGTTTTCGGTTTCCGTTGCTGCAGGCGTTTCCGGTTTTCGGGATTCCATGTCCAAGTGTAAAAGGGATGTTGGGCTGTCTCCCCAGACTACACAATACATTGATATGTTCGCTGTGTTAACTTGAAAATCTCATACAATATGTTATGTTCTAACGAGTGAAAAAAAAACTATAATTCAATATTTTTATTGATTTTTTAAACAAAATATTGTAGTTTTTAGAAGGCTTAATATCATAGTAAGTGTTTAAACTATACTGTTTTTCTCTAATAGGTGCTTAAAGTATTTTGATTCATCTTGGTGTTTAACGATATAAATGTTATTATTTTAGGTACTCGGGCTGTCAACGATATTAATTTTTCCGTTAAGTAACACGTATCATAATCTTGTGATTTAAAAAAAATCATTTAAAACTAAAAATTAAAAATTATATGTTTAAAAAAACAATTTTTTTAAATAACTCCATTAAAATAAAATAGAAGTGTGCACTCAATTAATGGTGTCTTTGAAGATAAAATAGGGACGCTTTGCTGAGCCCACCGGGGAACGTCCAAATGTTCCAGGGACTAAACATTTTAGTAAATATTACCAGATCTAATAATTGATCAAATAGTCAAAAATATTTATATTATCTTATCTTATGTGAGTTAGAACTTTAATGATATAATATATCTCTATTATATAAAACATGATAAATTATATGTTTAGTACTTAAATTATTACTTTTATTTCGTTTTAGTACCGATTTTTTTAAAGCAATACATAACGTTTAGTTTAGGTTTTATTTTTGGTACTCCACCATCAAAAACTTAACGTTGATGTTGACGTATCACCATAATATAATGCCATGTCATTATTGAAAAAAATAAAAAAAAATGTCACAACAGTTTTGTTAATTTTTTAACATGTATCAAATTGAACATAAACTAAATGTTAGGTATAATTTTAAAAAATATAAAGTTTAGGTATCAAAAGAAACGAAAGTAATAGTTTAGGATTTATACAAGGATGTTGGGTCGGGGATCTGGATAAAATTTGTACTTTGGAATTTATCGGTCGACTGATGCGACGAATGAAGACTGTAGGCACGGTCATAGGTGAGTCCGTCCGTGAAGTTTTCAACGGCGGGGTACTAACATGAAATACAAACAAAACATTAAGTATGATTTAAAAAAATGAAAGTTTAAGGACTAAAACAGGAAAAAATTAATAGTTTATGTACTAAATGCATTATTTACCCATTGTTTTCAGTTACCGTTAAAGTTCCCTCTTCATGGCGGTTAACCTACCATGAAACCAAGCATCCAAGAACACGCAAATCACATCTTCTAAATCACAGGAGAGAGAGAAATCAAACCCCCAAAATCATAATAATCAGATTCCATTTTCTTTCGGAACCCTGATCGCTTTTCAAAGAGCCATGGAAAATCTGCAATACGGGGTCATTTTGAACCTTCTTTCAACCATGGGCATTTAAGAAAAAACTGCGATCAATCATCGGGAAGATCCTCATCACAAGAGAGCCGTCCTGTTTCAGATCATAAGCATAATCCCAGTGTTATCAGAAGGCGATCTTTGAACTAAACGAGGCTTCGTTATCAAAGTCTCGGATTCAACCCACGAAGTGTTTGTTTCTTTGCCTCAAGAACATGACGAAATGATTCTAAACAACAAGTTGCATATCGGCCAGTCCATATACGTGCAGGAATTGGAATCGGCCTATCCAGTTCCGTTGCTTAAAGGGTTGATGCCGATTCCAGGGAGACAGCCATTTGATAAGTATCCCAAAGATCTTGTTGGCATGGATATAATGGAGACGCCATTGTTGGTGCAACAAAGAACTGAAAGGGCTCAGTCTATAAGTCCTTGCAAGGCACCCTTGAGGGACTGAAGCAAGTATGGGGGTCTAAACTGTAGAACCAGGACTCATGGTCTTAACAATCAAGGCTTTGACGTGGGTTGTTCAAGAAAGAGACAGGCGTTACATTGTTCTAATTCTCATGTAAGTATCATTTCCTGGTCCTTTTCTATCTGTATCATCAAAGTTTGCCTTGTATTTATACACATATATAACTATATATAAGATGAATAAACTCGGGTGAGTGTCGGATTTGGATATGTGTCCTACATGGTATGCTCAAATATTTCTAAGTCTTGTATTTATACACATATCAAACTAAATATCAGATGGTTGAACTCGAGTGAGTGTCGAATTTAGACATGAATCCTACATGGAATGCCTAATTTCTGGATGTTTGTTATACACACATCTAACTATATATCATATGGTTGAACTCGAATGAATGTCAGATTTAGACGTGTATCCTATATAATATGCTTAATTTTTTTCTATATTTGTCTTGTATTTTATACACATCTAAATTATATATCATATGGTTAAACTCGAGCGAGTGTCGGATTTGAACATGTCCTACATAGTATGCTCAAATTTTTTGAAATTTGTCTTGCATTTATACAAATATCTAACTATATATCAGATGGTTAAACTCGAGTGAACGTTAGATTTCGACATATGCCCGATGTTTGTGATATATTTATACACATATCTAGCCATATACCGTGAGGATATTTCGAGAAAAATGAACTTGCATGTAACAGAATTTAAGGTTCAAATGACATTTCCCTTTCTTATACAAAATAGGCCAATATATACTTCTTTTTCTAACATTACAGGCTTCATCAGTTGGGTCTGCAAGATTTTACCATGATGATAATTCAAACACTGAAGTAGGGATAAAAGATGTTAGTCAATTCTCAAAACCAGTTAAAAGTACAAGCAAAAGTTGGAACTCTTCAACCCCTAGAAGAACAATTAAAGAGCCTTGGACTGAAGCAAGGCAAAGAGATTCATCCAACAGCTAAATATGCAAAGAAAGTGAGATGTTATGGGATACCCTTCCTCCTTCTTTAGTCAAACTAGGGAAGGTATTCCCATTTTGCTTGAGGTTTTATTTTTGGCCCTTTATTTCACTTTACCTGCTCTTAAAGTCCCATAACTTTTAACATATCTGCAGGAATTACTAAGGCAAAGAGATGTCACTTTGCTGGCTGTTGTTGAAGCTTTGCAAGAGGCTGCTGGTACTGAGAAATTGCTCAAGTGCTTAAGGTAAGGAAATGTACCTGAGTTTTCATTACGAGTATTACTCGAGTCTGCATCGTCAGGAAATTTCATTAAATTCCCTTAATATTTCATTTAGCAAGTTTTCGAAGCTTCAATTGGCGAAAGAAGATCAACAACCTTCAATTAACAAGTTCTTCAAGCTGCAAGATTTCATGGCTCAGTGGAGAACAATTGTTCAGTCATTAACCAATATTAGTCCCCAAAGAATGGCTGATTGTGATCTGATTAATCCTGGTTCGGCCAGGGAAGCATTAAAACTAGCCGTCGGCCGATCGAGAAATGCAACCACAAGGGTTAAAGCTGCTGTGGCATCTGACCTTGTCCCACTCTCTACAAGTGGAACCAAAGAGGGTAAAAATCAAGCGAAAAACATGAAACAATCGAGTCAGATTACATTGCCGAAAGGTGGTTATATGATTACGAAGCAAAGGAGCAATGGTGAATTTCACTCTGATTTGGCAGCTGAGAAGGAAAATATACCAAATTGGGTGAAGGGAAGTACCTTGAATATAGCTAGAAACCTTGCAGATACATTGCAAGATGAATGTGAAACATGGTTTTTAGCTTATAAAGAGAACTATTTAGGCAGTTTCGATAATGAATGCCTTTCAAAGGTACCTCATAGCTGAATCTATGTGTCAGATCAAGAGATTGAACGACTGGTTAGATACGATGGAAAGCGATGGCAAATCAACATCGCGAGGTCCCGAATTCGAAGCATATGGAAGGGTGAGGAACAAAATATATGAAGTGCTTTTGAAGCATGTTGAAAGAACTGCAGTGGTTTTGGAGAATATGAATGCAATTTGCTGATGGTTGAAACTCTTCAGCTTGGCATCAAACTAACAGAAATTAACTAACCCAACTATTTTTTGTGCTTGACAAGCATGTCGGTTTCATTTCCCGAAACAGATGCAATTCAGATCATTTTGGATTCAGATATTTTCGGATTCGAATTATTCAGTATCTGATTCAATCTAGAAATTCCTTTCCAGATCCTAATAAGAATGCACAAATATGTCGAAATCTTATATATCATGACTCATTAACCTACCAAAACTTATATAACAATGTAATCTATTACGATGCATAAAAACACAAAAAACATTAGAAAAAGTATTGCCAGGTAATTCAGAGGGCATGAAGTGAACAAAGGGTAGACAGCACAAAGGTTTTCACTTTATGTGTTGTACAGTTATGCTATGCTATGCTATGCTATAAACCTTTTAAATCACCTGAACCCGGACGGAGCCGCTTGTGGACCACCTGCAGCTCTCCTCATTGCTTTTGATTGAGCAAGCATCTCATCATAATTCTGACCAAGAAACAAAAGAAAAACAACTTACTAAAAGGATAGCTACAGGTGCATGACAAGGAAAAGAGCATGGAAAAAAACTATGTCATTCGGACTCCAGTGTATGTGTCAAATATGAGTATGTTTCTCAATAATCATTAGATATGGGAGTTAGATATAAGTACCAAGTCAGAACAAGTGAAAAGGTAACAAAAACACTACCCGTTTCTCGAATGCAGCATCTCTTGAGTCGATTATTTTGTCAGCAAGGCCATAGTCTATGGCTTCTTGTGCTTGGAAATATTTAGGACGCTGAATATCTTTCTCGATTTCTTCCTTGGTCTTCCCTGTGCCTTTTGCTAGTAGCTCAATGTAGGACTCGGTGTTTGCATCAAGTTCCCTGGCCTGAAAATAATACATATATATCAGAAAAGCTAAAACAAACATGCAGATATACAAAGCATAAGGGGATAGAGCAAAAGGGCACCTTAATCCACATATCTATGACAGCCCCACTTGATCTGCTGACTTTAGGTAGATATAACTTCGCTGCAAGTATTTAAAACATAAAAAGGGATACATGAACATCTAGTACCATGCCAACAAATGTTAAAAGTTGAAAAAGGAAATGATAGGATGGTCAAGTTTTTATCTTGTAATCCTATAAGCAAAGCATTTAGTAGGAGATCCGGAGATAAGTTTTGAAATTCTGAATAAATGATTCTAAACAAGATAGAGAAAATCGAGTCTATACTCATGGGTGGTATTGTCAACCTCAGATAGAGTAGGAATAAAAGAAATATTTCCGAACATAATTTACGCTCATCTTCAAAGTTACAAAGTGGAATTGAATCATACTGGATGAATTCGGCTGTACAGCACGATAACCCTTAGCTCCTTGAGATAGAAGCATTGCTGCTTGACCAAATGCCATGCCACAATTCACAGTGTAGAACTCTGATTTGCAGTACTTCGGGTATACAGAAATATAAAAGTGAAGGAGTTAAATTCAAATCAAATCCAACAGCTAAATAAGAATGATAATCCAAAGCAATAACTCATATCAACAAACTATTTAACTTAGCTATTTCCCCGTAAAACATAACTAAAATGACAAACGGTCACCATCATAATCCTTGTGTAGAACAAAACAAAAACCGACGTGCTTGTAAAATATTGAACTTCTTCGGAAGTTTACCTCATTCAATGAAAGATAAATTCATAAATATCAACAGAAATATTTTATTATCATGATACTCACAGCCATGGTGTCGGCTATAGCATATGCCTCGGTTTCTGATCCAACGGTCTCCATCTTCTCATCCTATATAGTTCAGAAGCAATCAATCAACACGAATAGATATGAAAACTTCCAGTATATGATACTGACATGTCACAAAAGGAATGCTTCGAAGAAGTTGAGTGGACTGATCAAGAATTAGAAACATTCTTCTAACCTGTGTCCCAGATGAATTGATGTACAAGTATATAGGTTTCTAAGGGTTATCATAATCTAACCACATTAGTTGAGCAACAATAAGCTCAGCTACTGCTGGTACAATCTACAGAAAAAGATTATAAGACAACAACGAATTAGAAATTAGCCACCATGCATGATTATAGGCCAGATATGGAATGGACTTACCGGCATGCCAAGATAACATATCCGAGCATCTAAGAGCAAAGAAGGCAAATCTGGAGGAGCAGTTCTAGGCCTTCCGGATCCTCTGCCCCTCCACGATACATGCTTACACTCATACTATATTTGGAAGGGCCTCTATCGTTAATGCTTGACATATTCCACATACCCCCATTATTCAAATAGTTTCTAGCAGATGAAATACTTTCCTGGAAAACATTGGAAAAAAAAGTAAGTTCTAGATTCTACTATTTACACTAATTTCTTACATCAACCATCATCTATGAACTGAGATTTGGAAAGAGGTTAATAAAGGAGCAAACCTCAGTAACACTTTCGGATTGTCGACGGACTGGATTATTTTCAGTCATGAACATGTCCATTTGTGATGGACTAAGACCATAAAGATATCCAGGCACATTTTATAATTGTCCATCACTATACAACAACAAACGAAACAGTAACTTTTAGTCTTAACTTCAAATGAATCCCACTCAAAGCAGCTTGTCATAATTTCATAACTCAAATAACGAACAAACCATCAAAGCTCCATCTAGAACTAAAAGTATCACCTAACAAATATATGGATTAATCAAATAATTCCAATATATTAATCTATCAGACTCCATGTTTATGACTGTAACAATATAAAAAGAAACTACAGCATTCATTTGCTATATTCTTCAAACTATAAGTAAAAACCATTGCTCCCAAATCCAAAACCCTTTCCACAAGAAACGCATAACAATATTATGTTCTTAGCTTTAAAAAATCTGAAAAAAAATATAAAACTGACATCCATCTTTGAGATTTTGTTCTCTGAATTGCTTGGGGATGTGGTCGATTGACTTAGAAAACGGATGTTTGAAGCATTTCTGAGCAATGGGCCTTCGAGAACGGGGCTTCTTCGACAAGAAGAGCTTGGTGCCGGTGATGAAAGACGATTTACAGGCTCCGATAACGGGACCCATCGCTTCTGGGTTTGGCGCTGTTAACGATAAGAACTGCGAGGCCGCCATGAGAGAGGAGATGCGTCTGCTTCAAGTAAGCAAACTGTCGATGCTAACCAGAGAATGAAGTTTCAGGATTTTCCAAAAAAAAAAATTATGTAATTCCAATCACAGAAAATTTATTTGAATAAAATCCTCTCAGCCCTAAATTCCGATAATCCGTTTCCACGTAAGAGTCCAAATGTTATTGAGATTAGTGAATTTAGGGTTTATATAACGGCCCATCCGAATCTAGTTACAGGGCTTTGGAATGCAGGAGAAAAGATAATTATAAATTGCATCCCTCTATTATATAAAAAATTAAAAATAGTCCCTTTACTTCAATTTGTAATGATATAGTCATCGTACTTTTCGAAAACCAATAAGCTAGATGAGTAACACTGATAAAAAATTTAAATAAAATTTAAATGATAATTCATAAATTCGATTCAAATCGGAAAAAAATTAAATTCAAGTCGAACTATTAAATAGAACTCAAATAACTCAAAAAAATTAGTAATTAGAAGATTAATTTTTAAGCTTGAGTCGAATCTCTCAACTCTGCATGATCTATGTATATCACATATGAAGAAATATGAAGAAATATATATGTATATTGTAAATGAATATAGAAAATTATTTAAATTAGAATCAAATAATATAATAACATAGTAAATATTTATAATTAAATATAAACCAAATTTTGAATAATTTGACTCGAACAAAAAACCAAATAAAGTTTAAATTATAAAATAAAATCCGTCAACTTAAATAACTTAAAATTTTCTAACTCGACTCAATCGAATGCTTAACCTAATTACAACATCTCGTGATTTAAGAATATGTTTTTTCACTTTGTGGAATAAGCTTTGTATTAGGTGTAACTACAACCAGCTAAACATACACCTTTACTTATATTTTACACATTACTCCTATCTTCGTGCAATTGGCTTCCCTGTGAATCTCATGCACCTAGATTTGCAAAGCTCTTCCAGCGTTGTTTTCTTCATCCACTGAGCTTGAACCCGAGCCTTGTTTAAAGGACATCGAGTTCCTCGCCGCTCGATCCGCCGGATGTCTGTATAAAAATTGATACTTGCTGTCTGTGGTTTTGGTGGCTCCACAGTGAAGGGATATGAAGTTTATGAAGATTGGATCAAAGCCGGATACGTTTCGGAGCAATGGCAAGAATGTAAGGTGAGATCTAATGGACCCTTGTTTGCAATCTATGATTCGATACGTTCAACTTATTCGAAGCCGAAGAATCTTTGAAAGATCGTGATGTGAGTATCGAATATGAATACATGTATGAACTTTGAACATATATGATGGTTTTAAGCTTGTATACACATGTTCAGATATGTAGCTAGCGAGCTAGCAACCGACGTCGTTATCGTTGTTGGGGATGTTGAGTTTTATTTACATAAGGTACAAATTTTCTTCGAGTTCGAGTGAATTTTTACCTATGGTCAAGTATTGCACAACGTCATTGTGTAAATATGTTATTCAGAGTAAAATGTATATCCGATACGAGTATGTTCATAAGAATTCATGAATGTATGTATGCATGCAGTTTCCTCTTCTGTCAAAAAGTGCCAGCTTACAAAAGCTGATTGCAAATGACGAAAACGGTGATGAAATTCAGATTTCCGACATCCCCGGAGGTTCGGTAGCCTTCGAGATATGTGTCAAATTTTGTTACGGGATTGCCATCACCCTTAATGCTTACAACGTTATCGCCGCTCGTTGTGCAGCCGAGTACTTGGGAATGCATGAGACCACTGAAAAAGGGAACCTAGTATACAAGATCGATGCCTTCCTCAACTCCAGCATCTTCCGCAGCTGGAAGGATTCAATCATCGTTCTTCAAACCACAAAATCAGTGTTACCATTACCCGAAGAATCGGTGCTGGTCGGTCTTTGCATTGATGCTATAGCTGCCAAGGCTTGCTCCGATGTATCCAAGGTTAATTGGTCCTACTCTTATAACCAGAGGAGGCTCTCGGATGACAGCAGTAACGGTATCAGAAGTCGACCTGTGCCGAAAGACTGGTGGATCGAAGATTTGTGTAAACTCGAAATCGATTTGTATAAGCGTATTATGATGAAGATTAAAACCAAAGGTATACTGTCACATGTAGTGATTGGAGAAGCATTGAAAGCTTATTCATACATAAGATTGCCAGGTTTTAGTGAGGGTGTTATCTATTCGAGGGATGCAGCGAAGTATCGATCGACGGTCGATACAATCATTTGGTTGTTGCCTGCAGAGAGAGGAAGTGTACCATGCAGCTTCTTGCTGAAGTTGTTGAAAGTAGCCATCATCGTTGATTCAGGAGAGATGACTACCGAACTGCTGGTCTGCCGAATCAGACAGCAACTGAAGGAGGTTTCCCTAAACGATATTTTGATGCAAACACCAGAAGGGGAAGTAACGTATGATGTTGATGTAGTACAGAAAATAGTACAGGAGTTTCTGATGCAAGATCAGAATTCCGAATTCGAGTCGGAAGAGAACGAGATCCTGGAAATTGAAAGACCTGGAATTTTGACAGATGATTCCAAGCTGATGGTGGCAAAATTGATAGATGCATACCTTGCTGAAATTGCCAAGGATCCCAGATTAACATTGTCCAAGTTCATAGACCTTGCTGAAATGGTGTCTGGCATCTCTCGGACGAATCATGATCGGCTTTACCGAGCCATTGACGTGTATCTTAAGGTGAGAATCTTACCAAAGCCCCATCAGTTTCAATGCACATCATTGAAGATTTTGAACTAGTCAATGTCTGCAACTCTGTTATTATTATAAAAGGTTCATGCTGTTCCGACTCTTTATTTCAATTGAAGTGCCCGAATCTGATACTCGTATCAGACATTGGCATTTCGATACGAACATACATGTGGGACATAAACTCTTATCCGACACCAAATCCCAAGTCTGAGTAACATAGACAAAGGCAAACCGATTCTAAGTGTATTCTGTTTCCATTCAGGAGCACCCAGTGTTGAGCAAAAGTGAGAGAACAAGTATATGCAAGTTAATGGACTACAATAAACTATCAGTGGATGCACGTATGCATGCGGTTCAAAACGAGAGGCTCCCGTCGCGTGTAGTTATGCAGGTTGTGTTATTCGATCAGGTCCGGGCTGCTGCTTCATTGGGTGGTAACACTCGCAAAGACCAGAATGGTCTAAAGAAGGGGTCTCATGGGAGCACAAGGGCAGCAGCAACCAACCCTGAGGAAGACCGGGATGCACCGGCAACATCCGATGAGATCAATGGTGCCTTAACGTTTGGAAACGGTGCCATTAGTAAAGTGAAAAGCTTGCTGAAGTCGGCGCGGATGTTTAAAAAGGTCTGGTCAAGCAAAGGAAGCCAATATTGTCAAATTAGTTGTTGAGATTCATCAGAAACTCTTGGTTCAGCTAAAATGGACGAAAGTAAACTCAAGAGCTTAGGTCTTATGTTAATTTAGTAAAATGTAGCATATTTGTTTTGCTTGCTGGAGATGTGTGTCTATCTATATACATGGGTTAATACCAGTTTTGACCCCTGTACTTTACCCAGATTTTCAGCTTGACCCTTATATTTTTAGAGTATTTTTACATTTTTATGATTTTATTTGAATTTTTTACCTTTTAAAGAAGTTTTAATGTTTTTTACATGTGGCAGCCTCTCATTGACTTAGATGATTAATCAAGATCCAAAATGAGGATTTGGATAAACTACAGGGGTCAAAAGTGATATTAAGCCAAACTTAGATGATTAATCAAAGTAGGCCAATAAATACATGATAATGGGTTACAAAAACTGCTAAAATGAGAAGCCCAACCTGGCTAGAATCAGTCAGCTCTTGTTTTTGTCCGTCGCCGTCTCGACCCGTCAGAAAAAAAACTCGAGCTTTCTGGTGGAACGATAGCATTTAGGGTGAATTAATAGTCGAAACAAGATCAGTTAGATACATGATTTAGTTGCATTCTATGTGACCTCAAGCTACAGTCTTTAACCTGATGAAAATATTGATTATAATAAGCCATATCAGCAGATAATAGCTTGGAGGATTAAACAAAATGCAGTACTTTTACCTGAATGGCTGCTAAGGCGGATAGAAAGTTGTTGCATTGTTCGAGCAAAACCATTTCTTTCGTCGTCTTGATCGCGAGGTTGGCCACTAGAGAATTCATTTCCTCGACCTGCAATGGATAAACGGAGTTCAGATGATTCGGTAGATTATATGTCTCGGATTATTGATCTTTTACCTTTGACGATAGTGTGCAAGTTGAGGATGTGATCGCCTGCATCACGGCACCCGCCGAACTAACAGCATTCTTCATATTTTCGATATCTGCCTATTACAAGAGAACGAAGGACGGGAAGAGAAGCAAGAACAGCACATTAAACCTCACTGATAGCTATGAAACTGAACCAAGAACATATCATATAGTAAAAAGCAAGGGGGAAATGGGAAGAAACTTACTATTGCTTTTCCGACAATCAGAAGACGAAGAGTACTCACCTTTAAAGCTTCACTTGCTCCTTGCAAAGACTAGAGTGATCTCGTTCGAGGAGCGTCCACGCCTATAAATGAGCTATATGCGCTTGAATTACATGTACAACATGATTAATATATGAAGGTAAAAACCATGTTTGTATGCGAAGCACTATGAGGAACAGATTCAATACTAAAGAAATGCGATGAAGTTTCGAATCTTACTTGTCCCTTCAGGATGGAAGTCAGTTTCAACTTTCGACTCAGCAATAGCAACTTGATTCTTGTTAGCTTGGCCAAGTGCCACAGTTCCGATGTTGTCACCCGAGCACTCCACAGGTATTTCTGATGCAAACGAAAATGAAATAAGATGCAGACATACCAGACATATTAGAGGCCATAATGTTAAATCTCAGCTCAGATGTATTGTTTTCTAGACCTAGTTCGTTTTCATATCGAACCAGCTATTATTCGAGAATGATGAGATCGAAAGGCAGGAAATCCATACCTCTACACTCAGCTTCTGTGTCATGAAAGTGGCATCCGCCTTTGCATTTTTGTATCTCCATTGCAAGTATATGCTATAAAGAAGCCTCAAAAACGCAAGCATCGACTATCTGATTCTCCCCGCTCTTCCTCTCCGAATATCAATCGAAAGTCTTGGATTAAACGGAGTATTGATAGAATTACCATCATCTGATCACCAACTGCATTTCTCACCCAAGCAGAACCTAGCCCCCTCGACCGAGACGAAGCTGAAGGTGTCCGAAGCTGACTAGGAGAAGCAGGTCTTGTCCACTCCAATATTCCGGGGCACACTCCTTCCTATGAGAAGACCACTTCCTCCACATTCTTGCATACCCGAATTGGTGCTCCCGCCCGGAGGATAAGCTATTGGTATCGGATGCAGCGAGATCGCAAGCGACTGCATTCGGCTTTAGCTTATTAGCTTCTTTAAACATCTCAGCATGACATCCACAATCCAAACTCAACCTCCTATCACTAGGACCAACAAAAGAAACACTCCTACTACTACTCTCATCAAGCATTGCACAAGATCGAAACACATTCCTATCACAGCCATAATCCAAACTCCTAGACGACGAATTCGAACCCGAATTGGCTTTCCGGGTTTTTCCCTGATCCACCGGCATCGAGTTCTTCTCGTGATCAGTTATGGGGCTAGGTCGATGCCTTTCAGGATTAGCCTTCCTAGTCAAATTGGAACCTTCTTGAGCTTTTATCTTGCTAATGGGAAGGGAAAAAGCCTCACCTTGAAACGAAACGAATAAGCTTCTCCTTGAAGTAATCATCATCTTGTTAGCAGCAAGCAGTTCTACAGCATTAACATTGTTTCCTTGTGACAATTGACCCCTCGGCCCTCCGGTCGGCCGATCGAGATCGTTTCGGAAGCGACGACACAGTCATCGGAGCCGGTTTTGAAGCAGAACTAGCCTCTGCTGTTGCCGGTGAAGAAGGAGACAAATACCTTGAAGAAACTTGTGGTTTTCAAGTAACAGTGGAGCCATTAGTCTTTCTTGTTTCTTCAACTGAGTGAGAAAATGCAGCCGCCATTATCAGAATCTATTTTCTCCTCTACATTGCCAAAGAAAATATGTGAATTTAGCAGCAATGGGTCTTCATTTTCATGGCTGAAAATCGCTAACTTGAGTGATTTTACAGGTGAATGGAAGAAAACCCAGAAATGGTTTTTCAAAGATTCTGCATTTTACACCAACAACAGCGAAACCCTCACTGGGTTTCACAGGTAAAGTAAGATCTTCGGAGAAATTAGAAAGATTCAGCTGGGTTTTTGTGAATCTTTGGAAGGAAGTTGGTTGAATCCATCAAATTTTACCAATTTAAATATTTAATCTCAGACTTAATGATCTGTGTAATGGAAATATCATGGCATGAGCAAGATAGAACCCACATAACCAACTGAGTTTGCATAGATTAATTAACAGACAATTAGAACTTTCTGGCAGATTAAACTTAGCAGCCATTTTTACTTGAAAAATACTCCATAGATTTGATTGGTATTGAAAGGAAGACACCCACTATCGCTATGTTTTCTTTAACATCGAATATCAAAATTGATGCCCAAAGCAACATCGTACCTTAAAATATAATAAACGCCATGAGTGGTTACAGACGACAAGGAAGAAGAAGCTTCGAAGCGCCATATGGGGTTGCCGAGGGTGGAATCTGGCGTAGTGGGAGGATAGCTATGGAATCGGTGTGAAAGAGAACTAAAAGTAGTGAGTTTCGCAGGTTTGGTTTCTCAGTTTTTATCGACGATATCAGCAAAAGGGTTCATCACCGGGCCTTGAAAGAAATCTTCCAAAGCTTTGGAGTTGTTCTAGATGCATTTATAGCCTACAATAGCACAAAAAGGAAGCTGAGGAAGACGACATTTGGCTTATTTGATTCAGGGCTTTGAAAGGAGACAGAAGGGTGGTAGACGGCTACACCATAAGGGTCTTCTTAGATAAGAACAATAATCCTAGCGTCGCAAGAGCTCCATCTAAGATTCAGAAGGTGAGGTGGAATGCCCCATCGTTGAGAGACTCGAGATCCTTCCGAGAAGTGTTGCTAGGAAATATCCCACCAATGGAGAAGGCACAACAACAAAGTGAAGTTGAGGGTGCAGGTCATGCGCATGAAGAGATTGTATCCGACGTCACTCGAAATCCTAACATGGAAGGCTCGGTTCCATCTATGATCGAAGTTCCAAAAGTTGAGCAAACCTGGAGAAGTTATTGCCTAGTTGGTAAGATAAAAGATATGCATAATTTGGATATTTTGCAAGATGATTTAAGATCGGAAGGGTTCGAAGTGAAGGTCAGTAAATGGCACAACCTTCTCGCTGTTCTGCAGTTTTCAAGTATTGATGATCTAAAGAAATGTTGGCTCAGGAGAGATGAGTTCATTCAACTATGGTTTGATGAGCTTGAATACCTTGAAGGTTTCGAAGGTAAGAGAAAAATTAAAGTTTGGTTGGTAATGCAGGATGTTCCATTATTGGTTTGAAATGAGAAATTCTTCCTGGAGCTTGCCGATAGATGGGGTTCTGGGTTGAAAGTTGATGAAGATACACTTCAGCGCAATTGCTTTGAAGAAGCGAAGGTCCTTATAAAAGTTGACCAGGGGTCAAAGATACCGGACATGGTAGGCATAATCGCTAATGGTAGATTCTCACTGATGAAACTGAAAACTGAGGTATACGAAGGAGACCAACAGTTCATCGACGAAGGGTTTCATTTTTGAAAATTATGAGTGCAATGTCGAGAGTCCGATGAATGACCTCCTCGAAGATGATGAAATGGAGAGTTAATCTTCGATATGGGTAATAGAATTGGTATTGAATTCAAAGCTCCAGCTTGTGAGGTCCTTGCTAAAATCCAGGAGCTTGATGGTTATGATAGGGCCTAAGTCTCTCCCAATTTGAATCTACTAGTGTTGTAAGTTTGTTTTAAGTTTAACTGTTTATGAATTTCTCAGTTATCTCATGGAATGTCAGGGACTTGGAAGAAACTAAAAAGTGAGTGCTGTGAGCAAAATCATCGCCTCCAGAAAAGCAAAAATAGTTTTCTTGCAAGAATCGAAAAGCGCCTGTCGATATCTCAAGGCTGTTGAAGCGTCTGAGAGGTAATATGTTTCATGAATCAGTAGCTGTGTCTTCAGAGGGAGCCTCGGGCGGTCTAATATCGATGTGGGATAAAAGTTGCTTCTCTCTGAAAAGGAAGATCCTGCTAAGCAGGATCGTAGTTTTGGTCGGTTCACTTGCACATTATCACTTGGAGACTTATTAAGGTGTCCCAATGCTATTGCTTCGGGTTGTAGAGGATTTTCTTCAAGTTTCGTGTATTAAATGCTTGGTCAAGTCTGACAGGAGAGTTTTATGGTTGTGCTGATTGGCTAGTAGTGGAATTAGGAGTCTCAAGTTCTAGCTGATTGTATGAAGCTTGGTTGTGATGTTCATCTGGTATTGCTGGCTAATTGGCATGTGTTTTTGTGGGGAATTAATCAAGTTCGAAATGAGGGGTTACACTTTACAGACGCTGCATGAAGGGTTACAGACGCCAAGGAAGAAGAAGCTACGAAGCGCCATATGGGATTGCCGAGGGTGGAATCTGGCGTAGTGGGAGGATAGCTATGGAATCTGTCTTTTTGTCTGTCATAATTTATGCGATGGTGTTGGTTAATTTTGGGGAATTGCATGGATTGGTTCTAGACATTCTGCTCAGGGTACCTTGTTTTCGGATTTGTTGGTTAGTATCCAAGTTTGTATGTGCTTAGGTTCGATTCAATTGTGTCAAGGTGCTGTTTTGATCTCTCAGTTGATTGCACTCTTTTTCTTCATTTGTTTAGAAAGATTTTTTAACGAGGCCTATGATTGTATCTCGTTTTATATTTTGAATATCTCGAATACAAAAACCCCTTTCAAAAAAATCGAATATCAATTATATCATGTTATTTCTAAATTAATATTCGATTTATCAATTTACTAACTTAAATCAAATATGATGCAAGTTTAAGGATTCAAAGATGCACTCATTTAAAGATAACAAATTAATCTCAATCTATCGGGTTCAAATTAAGTCAAGTTTCATAAATGGGTGAAGTCAGATCATGTTTGAATATGGGATAAAAAAGTCTTCAATTTGAGTTAAGAATTTTAATTGGTTACCTACAAGTTTCCAGCATGTGCTTCTCTTTCATTTTCCAACCTTCAAAAATGGACCAATATGAACAAAAACCATCAATTATGAAAAATAGGTCTTAGAAATCAACACTGCGACCATAGAATGGTAAGAATTTCCCAATAAATTTGTGGTTCAACTAAGAGCACAATTAAAGGAAGAATTTTTGCATGAATTTTGTGTCTACTCAAACACAATACTTCTATAAAGAATAATATTCTCTTTTACAACTGGGACTATTTAATGGGTTAAGTTTAAATACTTGTTTCTAATGAATTTACAGTTATGATTAAATTTTATGTAAATTCTAATTAATAAGTGGATGAGAATAAACAAGCTTCAGTATTTCATCACAGTACAAAGGCGATTATAGCAAACTAACAACAAGATACCGAATGAAAACAGGATGATTACTTAACTAAGAAAAAAAATGGTTGTCCTATATGTAATGGGATAAGTGGGAGATAAGATAGTAGGCTGTCCCCAACACTAGGTTGAGAGCAGTTTCCGTAGGAGACCTCCAAATTATGAAATGCCCTCCGAATTATTTGAAAACAGGATGATTACTTAACTGAGAAACATAACTTTAAAGTCCCAAACTTAAATTCAACAAGGAAAAGTACATTATCTTAAAAAGCTCCTTCATTTTCACAAAACTTGCTTCTTCGTACCAGTGTTAAAGTTCGTTCTTCAAAGATACTGCAAGGCGGAAAAAAAGAACACGAAGGTTACAAAACTGCTGATACTCATACAAAAGAAATAATATGAAGAGATTAAGAGCAAGATAACACTAATTATTAACAGTTGAAAGTGTATTCACATGGGTGACATTGCTATACCTTGATGAATCCGATTTCCTTGGTATTGCTACGGAAGCATTGTCTGCAACACATGAGTCCATACTTCCTGATAATGGCATGAGGGTTTCCACACACTCGGCCATAAAACAAAAAAAAAGTACTTTGTATTATGATAATACACCATAAAATCATATAAAAAACAAACAACATGGTGGCAATGGGAATACGAATTGGAAACTGTAGCTTTGGATCCATCTGTTTTATGAAATGCGAGAAAATTAGTTTTGATTCAATAAGTTTCATGATTAAAGGTACAAAAATATCAAATTTGATATAATACATCAGTGAAATTAGCAGATTAAGCTGAAATTTTGTGATTTAGTAGCAGTATAAAAAATATGGATTCATATCAAATTGATGCCTCAGAATCAATACTTTGAGAGAATCATCAGAGAAAGAAACCTCAGATGGTACGGACAAATGATTGAACATCACAGGCAATCAAGAATCAGAATATAATAACAAAACGCTATTCAAATTTGAGTATAGCAAGAGAAAAACAGAATCCTCTGCCTTAAATAATCATACCACAGTACAAAAAATACATGGATTCATATCAAATTGATGCCTCAGAATCAAATCTTCGAGAGAATACATCAGAGAAAGAAATCTCAGATGGTACGGAAAAATGTTTGAACGTCACAGGCAATCAAGATTCAGAATATAATAACATAACGTAATAGAAATTCGAGTATACCGAGAGAAGAAATAGAATCCTCCGTATGAAAGTTGATAACATGGGCGATTTATTTGAAATTTATAAGCAATCGAACAATGGAGAATCGAAAGAAGATTAAATTTACCAGGCGCGAGAGCCAGGGCCGTAGGTCTTGGGGTGAGAGTTCCAGACGTTTGAATGACCCATGATTGACTAAAGACGATGGCCGCCCTCCGATTAAATCTCTGTTTAAGCTAAATGAGTCTCGTCTCCACAGCCAATTAGTTAACCTAGTTTATCAAGTTAGGGTATTTATCGATGTATCTGAAAAACCCTATATTTCGATTTGTCAGGGTTGGGCCAAAAACTGACCCAATAACCATTCGGCCTCTCTTAGGGAAGTCACATCTTCGCTATCAATCTCTTATATGATCATTAACAAATTTAATATAAATAAAATTCGACTCAACTTAAAAAAATTAATTTTTTTTACTCAAATCGTAATTTGATAAACTCGGTTTAAAAATATTTTAAATATAAATCTAATTATAAAATATAACTCGAATAATAATTCTAAACTTTTAAATTGTGTGAAGCGCGGTAGCAGTTGCGATGATATGGGCAGCGCTCCACCTCCATTTCTTGCATCAATAAGTTTCCTTCAGGATGCACCAGAGTATCATCTCAACTGCAACTGCTCCAGCCGTTTTCAATTTCTCTCTCTCCTTCTCAACCTCCTCTTCAAGAGTTGTTATATATTAATATGTATAAAGAAAAAAACGAAGAAGCTGATTCTAGTTGTTTGGCATTGTCCTTTAAATGCTGAGAAAATAAAATGGCTTATTAGGAAATAAATACTTTAGCTTTTACTGTGGGAGAAGAAGACGGTTACTTTAGTAGGGTAGAGGAAGACGGTCAACTATCTCACGTAAGAAAAACAACGCCAGAACAGTTTTTACTAATGACTCTTAACGTCAATTAATCATTTTGTTACAATTCGATAACATTAGTGATCAGTTTGTAACTTTTGAAAGTTTAATGGAGAAAACAAAAACTCACTCAAACTTTAGTGACTATTTGTGTAATTAACCAAACAAATGTAAAGAAATATATATATTATATATGATTATAAAAAACTATTTAAATTGTGATCAAATAATATCATCATATTTTAAATATTTACAATTAAATTTAAATAAAAATTTAAAAAGTTAACTCGACTCGATTTGAAAAAATTTGAAAGTACAAATAATTATCATCATCCTAAATTTGATATCAACACTAAAAATTTATATATAAATAATCATGCAAGGTTGGACAAAAAGAAAGAATCTTTTACTCGCACCGGAGCTCTCTCTAGACACTTGATCATCTTTTTCAACTCATTTGTTTTTCTCTCTCCTCCATTGAACAATTGTATGTGACCCTCTTTCCAAAACACAAAAGATAAATAGTCAAACCACATTACAATCTCATTTCTCCCGTTAGAAGATTGAATTTATATTCTAAACTAAGATTAATATAAAAAATTGTCCAAATTATCTTTTTTTTTAATTTAGGTGCTTAATTTTTTTTATCAATTTAGGTGTCTAATGTTTTTAATATTATCAATTAAATACCTAGACTGTGACGGACGTTAAAAAAATTTCGTCAACCTCACATTGTACGACATGTTGTGCCTTTATAGATTTTTAAATTTTTTTATTAAAAAAACTTAAAATTATTTTTATTTTTAAAAACCCCAAAATATTTCTAAAATCTCAAAAAAGTCACAAAATCCTTAATCTCAAAGCATCCACTCCAACTGTTGATCGTCCACTATCGTTGTCGCCCCCACTAACTGCCTACCCATCGTCGATCGTCGATCATGACTTCGAACCCCCTAAATCTTAAATCTACATCCCTATATTCAAACACTCATCTATCCTAATCGATGGGTAAGTGGTCAACAAGTGATTGATAAGATGGTGACCAACGAGTAGTGATGGTAGACCTCAGGATTGAATATCTTGGATATTTTATGAAAAATAGGATAAGTTAAGGTTTTAAAAAAATATGACTTTTATTTTTCAAAAATCTAAAAAAATAAAAGGGTAAATTACAATATCCCTCACTAAACTATACTCTCTCTCCTATTTTACTCACCGTATTTTCAATTTTTCCAACTTATTCACTGAAATTTTGAATTACTCCGATTTTTATAACTATAAATTATTTTATTATTATTATATGACATGGCATCTATTATTATTATTTAATATAAAATAATTGAAAATATAAAATAAAAACAAATAGTGGTCGTTCGGTCTCAAATTTCATGGGTCGGTTTGTCTTGACCCCTAAATCTGAATTTGATAGTTGTTTCACCGAAAAATATCCCAAAACCCATGAATCTCGACTGAACGTTTTGACTTCCTCACTTTCAATCTCAAATTCATGGACTTTGAAGCAAATTCCAACAAAATAGAGGTCAAATTTGGATTCAGATGTCGAGGCGGAGTAACCCATGAAATTTGTGACTGAACGACCACCATCTACAACGATGACGATGACCGACGATGGTGTCCAGCCACATCCTGCTTTTATTTTATATTTTAAATTATTTTATATTAAATAATAAAAAAATTCACGTCATACAAAAATAATAATAAAATAATTTGAAATGATCAAAACAAGAGCAATTCAAAAGTTCAATGAGTAAATTAGAAAAATTAAAAATACAATGAGTAAAATAGGATAAAGAGTATAGTTCAATAAGAAATAGTATAATTTACCCAAATAAAAAATCAAGCCACATATCAAATATTGATCGACTTATTTTTATTTTTAATAATTTTTTAAATACTATTACGACGTTGGAACTTAAATAATAACATTAAACATATAAATTGACAAAAATAATTTAAACATCTAAATGAAAAAATTATAATTTAAACCATTTTTTATATTAAGCCTCTAAACTAATATAATCGGATCGGCTTAAAATCGATTGGTCTCGCACGCTAATCAATTTAATTTAAATATTTATAGACAAAATACAATATATTTAAATTATTATATATGTCGATTTTTTATTGATTCGGTTCGGAAATTAAAAACCGAAAACCGACTAAAATAACCATATTGATTGATCTCTCCCACCCCCTCTTCCTTTCCCTCTGCTTCGTGCTGTCAGTCGTCGACTCGACACTGAAAAACAAATAAATAAGGCAGGTTTCAGGCCACTACTGCTCTTCTAATATGTCTATCTATTCATAGATCGACATGCTTTGTCGTCATTCCTTGCAAATCGCAGGCACGCTGCTCGCAATCCAGCTTGCCCCACCTCGCATCCACTCGCTCGCAGCGGAATATTGATTTTCCGAGGCTGTTGAAAGCAACCGATTTCAGCTAACCGTAACAATGCTCTAAAAAAGGTCAATCTAATATAGCTCAATTCACATAGGCATGTATGCTAGTTGGTACGCAAGCATATGAGAGGTGCAACAAAGAAAATAAAATTTACCTTCTGTTAACAACATTGTGAACATGACAGAGCCATTGGGAAAACTCGTCATGAGATCCGGCCATTACAGGGTTCCCTCTGACATGAAGAATATCTCTATTCAGAACAGATTAAGGCTACTAATATCTACTTATATACGTATAAGAAGAACCTCCAATCGAAAATTTTGATTGAATTGGGTGAGAACAATCCAGCATCATATAACATTATGAATAAACAGAACAACGGGATCTTGACTTAGAAGTTTCATAATTTTGCACTCAGCATTCCCAAATCAGGACCTAATTACTGTTTTTCTTCAAATACCAGAGCTAATTCAATTACAAACCCGGGTGAGGTGTGAAACCGGATAGCTTTCCAATCTTACTTGGCAATCCCTTTGATTATACCATCTAAAAGAAAGGCTAACAAAGTGGTTGCTAAAATTCTTAACATGGTATCGGTTACCAGAGGAAGCAACACGGAGACAAAAAAAATATACCTCAAAACTTCTTTAAAATGATCTGCACATTCCTTGCAGGGGTACATTCTGGATAATATCGACATCTGCGAGTCGAAACACTTGTCATTGGTCGGTTTATATAGTTTATAAGGACAAAATTTACTTCCACAATTCCATTTTTGGTTTTCCTTACAATTCCTTTTATGTCATTAGAAGCTCGGTTTATATAGTTTATAAGGACAAAATTTACTTCCACAATTCCATTTTTGGTTTTCCTTACAATTCCTTTTATGTCATTAGAAGCCTAAATAATCAAAAGCTGGGCAATATTTCGACATCTTTGAACTCAACTCATTTCACTTTTAAGTTTAAATCGAACCCGTACCGAGATTAAGCTTCATCCTAGCATAAAATTGCAAGATTGAATGAGTAAATTAAGATATAATCCAAGAATGAGATGTTATACCAGCTCTTTCACATCCTTCTTTTGTTGCCTTGTTGGATTTTCAGGATACTGGAGGAAACCATCAGGGCAAAACCGTAAGCGTTATAATTGACAATGAGAAGGAAAAAAAAAATACAAAACAAAAGCAAAGATATAAATGAGGAGACCTGAGCGGCAAGAGTGTGAAGAAAAGTCCAAGTAGCTCTCCCAAGTTCTTCTTTAGTCACCGGTGCAGCTGGCTTCTGTCAATTAAAACAAAAATGGGTATCAGAAATGAAATGCAACACGTCAATAAGAAGCTTGTAAACTAAAAACAAAAGAAGACAGCCGTCATTGCGAAATTTCGTCAAACAGATAATGAGCAACCTAAGAGGAGCGCCATCGAATAACATCGTAAGATTTAAAATCGATGCCAAGTAATTGGGCATATCAACAAAGAATCTATTGATGGAGTGCAAATGATACCTTGATGGGAAGATTGGTAGCGGTGGTCGGGGAGTCAGCGTTTACTGACGATGAAAGAGATATGAGAGGGTTTTTCTTGGTGGGTGATGAATGATGAACCTGTTGGGTGAAACTGGCGAGGTGGGTTTGAACACGATTCGAGAATATTTCAACTGTTTGGATCAAAGCTCGGAAAGGATTTGGATTTTCAGCAACCATTTTTGCTTGAACGTGATAGAGATAATGGCGGGAAAATGAGGAAGTTGGATCTTAAGGCGCTGTTTGATTTTCATTTAATTTTTAGAGTAAAGTATGCATTTAATACATAAACTGTCTGTTTTAGTTTGTTTTAGTACATAAATTTTTAATTTTTCAAGATTTTGTTTTTATTTTGTTTTAGTACCTCATCTTAAAAACTAACGGGTGATTTGCACTAGGGGTGTTCGTGGTCATTTAATCGTACCGTTTAGTCTAAACAATTTGGTTAACCGTTATAATGATTATTGAATTTTATTAACCATAACCTAACCATTAAAAACAGTTATCGTTATTAACGATTCGATTACACATGTTAACTTGTAACCTATTACAATTTTTCTTCACATTTTTACTCCTTAATTTAAAAAAAAAATACATATGGGCAATACATAGTACTCAATACATATACACACTACATTTGCATATTTTTATATTAGTTTAAAGTTCCAACACACAAAATATATAATTAATCATACTATAAATTTAAGCACATATCAAGTAACAATAGTCCAAAGCACCATCAACATAGGCGGAATAAGAGGGAGGGCAAGGGGAGCCTTGGCTCCCACCAATTATATTTTTAATTATCAATTGATATAGAAAAAATATTAAAAAAATAAATACAGAAAAATTTATCAGACCTCCACAATTAAAAAAATTGTATTTATGGTGTAGACACCCATTTTCTTAAAAGATAAAACAAACAAGAGTCTCTCCTAAGAGGACTCTTCCACCACCATATCTTTTAAAGCAACAACCACACCAACAAACGTGCAACAACCGAGCAAGGAGTCTAGTTGCATTAGGGTTCTATTGTTAATATGATTCTAAAAATAGTTAATTTTTTTTCACTATAAATATATGTAATACTCCCCATTTGTAAGACACGATTTACATACAAGATACAAAGGAAAGCACGAAAAAATACAAAGGCAAAACTATTGTAAACTATTCGAAAAGGAAATAAAATGTAGCTTTTTTTTTTACATTGATTCGTTCATTTATCGCATGTGCATGTTATTTTTCTTGAGATTTGGTTTGAATAACCCAAAGTGTGGGTTGCGCCGATGACCAAAAAGGGGTGGGGTTTCGAAGTTTCGAACCCCGAGGCATGTTCATTTTTTTGAAAGTATTTAATATTCCCCCTAAGTCAATCTTAATATTTAATTTACCTTGAAATTTACCCTTTAATTTTACTTTTATATTAATTTCGTCCCATATATATATTTTTTTAATTATATATTTTTATTTATTTACTATATTCGTCCTTTTTTATTTATATTATATCATTTTTATTATATATATATATATATATATTTATAGATGTATTAATTTTTCTCCATTTACTATGTATATATTTATCTTAATATTATATTTTATACGTTTTATATATATTTTCTTAATATTCTATTTTTGTTTTTATTTATTTATATATATATATTATATTTTTTACTTTATTTTATTTTTTCTATTATTTTTTTCTTAATATCATGTATATCTTCATTTTTTATTTGTTTTACTTAGTATTATATATTTATTATTTTTATTTATTTTAGTAAATACTACTTTATATATACACATTATTTTTATTCCTTTTTAATTTCTTTTACTCCATTAATTTTTTCCCTTTATCTACGCCTTTGTTTTTTTAACATTTTATTCATTTTGTTTATTTTTATTATTTTTTCATTATTTTTTACTTGTTTTGTTATTTTCCATTTTTTCTTGTTTTATTTATTATTCTCACGTTTGCACACTTGCTATCCTAATTCGATTTTATACTCTGCTACGAATATAACGTTTTTATCTTTTAAGGGTATTCAAATCAATCAATTGTAAGTAATTTGAATCGGGTCTGTTAAATTTTAATTTAAATTTCGAATTTTCGCAACTAAGACAACTGGCAAATTAATTGGTACCGAAAGGGCGGTTCAAGGGTGCTAATCCTTCCTTGACCGTAACCGACTCCCGAACCCGACACATTTATGGTAAAAACGCAGATCAGGTAAGATGGTGTCTGACCCACCTAAATTCGTTTTAAAATGGTCGGTGGCGACTCCAATCCACATTTTCAAGTCGAAGCCCAATTCTGGGGCCCAACCGAAAAACGGTTACGACAGCTTGGCAACTCCACTGGGGAAAGGTAAGTGAGTAAGACCGAAATTAATTTTCAGTTTTTTTTAGTGAAAATTACAAGTTTAAATTTTAGTTTATTTATTCGATTCCAATTATTTATCTTTGATTATTTTTTTTCAAATAAATAGTTGTACTAACGTTTTTTTCAATGATTTCATATTTTCAAAGTTTTTCATCTAAGGCTCTATACCCGAGCTCTGAACCCTATTTAAGTAGGGGTGAAAGCGATGCCTTCGTGAGAATTTATTCTCCGTGCGAGCCTAGCAAGTAACCTTCGGGATTCATATACCTTATGTCTTCGTGTGAATTTATTCACTGTGCGGACATAAGGGAATGTTTCCTCTCGAGTTTAACTTAGTCCACACGAGCTTGTAATGGGCTTAGGACTAAGGGTCTGGCAAGCCCAAGGGGGCACCAGAAAGGAGAATTCGGGTACCTTTTTTAGAACCTAAACCGGGATGCTATGGAGAATTAGAGCCCACCCTAAAACCTCATTTCAAACCCTAGGATGCTGGAATTATTTCCTGCTTTACTTTCTGTTCAAAGCATGTGAACTAGAAATTTATGTGGTTAGGACTTGTTCAAAATCAACTTTCGGGATAGAGATCATATTCGGGTAGGAATAATAAGCATGTGGGGTAGATATCATGTGGGTATGACTTTTTATTTTCATTATTTTTTTCTATAATCCTTATATTACTAACCTTTTTCCTTTAATTTTTATTTTTTTTACTTCATTTTTTTATCATTTACATCATTCAAAAGAGATATTGATCCACCAAAAACGTGTTTGTTAAAACATAAATAATTCGCATTAATGAACAAAGGGGTTGTAATACAAGAGGTGAAAAACGCAGGGGTCCGGCTATGGTCAGAAAAGACTCAGAAAGAAAATGAGGACAATCTGCAAGACAACTATGTGTCACATTCGATCAAGAAGACATGGCGCCCACAATCAAATACATCAAAAGTTAACTTTTCAAAAATGGGTTGACAAAGGTGGCAGGGGAAAGACAAGAAAAAAGGTACTAACCTCGAGAGTCCATTCAAAGATGACAAAAACAAGATGGCAAAACGATAGCTGAATTGGAAGTCATTGTTAACAAATTCAAGAAACAAGCAAATGAACTTCGGATAATCCCTTTGATGGAGGATTTCAATGGAGTTTTCGATTCAGCAAAGGATGAAATCCAGAGATGCAGAAATTCGATACTTTTATGAACAAGTACAAAAAACAGCTCGTCACTTGCACGGTTTAGCCAGAGAAGCCGAAGCAGTTCGACAGGGTATTCGACCGGTGACATACAAAGGCAGATGACTAGTCAACTTATTTCGGGGTCTAGAGGATTTAGTCTGGATGTACCTTTAAATATGTTTATTGTCTCTTAAAAGATAAAATAGTTTTGTCCCAATAAAGGTTATTTACAATAAAAGACATGTTTTTGGATCAATGCCTCAAACATTTCATGTATTTTTGCATTTTGCATCTACATTTTATTTTTTAAGCATTTTCATAAACATGAAATTTCTTCATGGAGAATTCGATGAAGTGGTTTTAACCACATGACACCACATGGAAGCAAGATTGTAACATCAAAAGAAAAAAAACTAAAATCAGAACGAATGAGTCCGATCAGCTGGTTGTAGGACTAAGCCTGTCAGGATGATCTGAGAAAAGAGTCCCCATCTCCTAAGGGCTACGATGTTGAAGCTGTTTGCAGTTATCACATAGGAACCCTTAAACATTCCTCTAAGAACTATAAGGCACTGAAGCGCAAGATCTAAAACCTGATGGCTTCAGGGGCATGGACAGCCGAAGAAGTGGACATTGCATATATCATTTGCACTTAGAGGATTGTTTTGTTTGAACACGTCTTTTATCTTTCATGTTTGCTTAATCTTTTAAACAATTGAATTTATACTACTTCCTAAGGTGGATCAATTGAACAAATTTTAATCTTTAGTTCTTCGAATATTAAATGAATTAAGAATTCTTTTAATTCTTCAAGAATTATAGATTTTTGACATATGGCAAGATTAGACCTTTCTTATCCCGTCTCAAACCTCAAAATAAAATACCTTGTTTCTTTACCCAAAATAAAATACCTTGATTCTTTACCCAAAATAACTCATGGTCATTACCAAAAAGACCAAATTTTGACATTACCTCCCTTTGAAACTTTTGAACATTACCTTTATCTTTTGATACACCCATACCTTTCTTTGAGTCAAATAAAGTCACACCATTGTCTTTTTAGACTCAAAATTGACATTTTTATGCCATTAAAACCCAAGGCATTGTGTTTTTTCATGAGCCTTCTTCTAAGACACAACTTGGGGCATCTCGCAGGGAGCATGGACATTGAGACATGTTGGGAGCAAGAAGCAGAAAGAAGAATTCACTCGAAATAATTTTACCATGCATTAATTACACTATTTTCATGTGAATAAAAATAATCCTAAAAATCTATCCCCCTGGGGATACCTCTTCTGTGAAAGCTTCCATGTATGAAATAATGAACGATTTTCTTTATTTACCCCTTCATAACAGGAGAAAATATATATCCCTTGTGTCCCCTTTTGAGCCTATAGTATTTTATCTTCTGATTCAACCCTAACCAAGGATCACCCTCCACACTGGGGGCTAAGGTGGAGAAAATCTGCTCGCATGAGTGAAGACATTGATTCATATAAGGTACCGAAAGGTGAACTAAATGCCAAGTGCAAAGATTCAATCAGAACAAAAAGAAAAAAGAGAAAAAAGCAAAGAGAAAATAAAAAAAACAAAGGAAAATTGAAGAAAAAAGAAGACAAGATGCATATGCAAAGATTCTCTCGATTCAAACGACGCATTGAGATTCAAACTATGTGATTGATCAAGCACAATC